GGGGGGCTGTCACACTGTCGGGGACAGGGGGGCTGTCACACTGGCAGGGACAGGGGGGCTGTCACATCTGCCTTCAGCTGCCTTGACCTCGTGTACATGGAATGGTCTTCTGGCAGTGGCGTTTCACAGCATGACTTCTGCGAAGTTTCAAAATGTTCAGTAAACAAAACTACTTGGAGGAAGATCTGTGCTCTACAGAAGGAAATCTCCCTAATGAAGGTCTCATAACTATCATTCCTGTGGTGAGAAAAGCTTGTTTTAATAAGATTAAGATGATTGATCCATCGAAGTATTTTTAACATTAATAGTTGTTTCCTTTTCTAGAGAGCTACAAAGATAATTGTATTCCCAGAGACTGAAAACACATTTCTTTGTTCTGAGCATTTTACATGGGTTATTATTTTTTTTAATTAAAATACTTGCTCAATAAAACACCACCTACAGATTCATGTTCTCCATCCTGTCAAACAGGAGTGATGAGCCCCCACCAAAGGAACAACCGATAATTACTGATGATGAAAAAAATCAAAAAGGTTTCTTCTTCTGCCATTTCCTGAATGTCAGGCTAACGGGATATGGTACCCCAGCTGTGCATGCCATAAACAAACCTGTTGCTGAAACTTAAGAGAGCAAGATGGAGACAGAGACAGGGAGAGACAGAGACAGGGAGAGAATTTACTGGTTATATGCAATTAGAGCACCCAGAGACTGGTGAGGTAACTCAGCAAGTGTGTTAGTCAGGACTCTGGAAAAACAGAACTGGTAGAACACACCAACGAACGAACGAACGAACGAACAAACGAACACACACACACACACACACTCATTTATTAGATTGACTTACATCATGTGGTCTGGGTAGTACAAAAATGGCTGCCTCCTGCTGTTCCAGACTGGTGCTGGGGTCCTGAAGGTTTCCTGGAGAGCTGCTGGTCTTCAGACTGGGTTGGACCCCTGAAGAAGTTGGCTTCCCTATCAACCACAGCAACAGGGTAGACCCCTTGCCGGCCAGAGGGAGGGCACAGCAGGCAGAAAGCAACATTTCCTTCCCCCTTGTCCTTTGACGGCCCAGATTTAGCCGGGGTCATCCTGCTTCCAACAATCTGCTGATGAACAGCCCTCACAGCTGTGCCCAGCAGCTTGCGTTTTAGTGGATTCCAGATGTCGTCAGGTTGACACTCAGGACCAGCCACCACACAAAGTGAAGGTCCCTGTCACCAAGACTGGTAGCCTGAGTTCAATCCCTGGGACCCACATGACCTCCTCAAATTGTCCTCTAAGCTCCACTCCCTTACTGTAGGACATGCACACACACACACACACACACACACACACACACACACACACACACACAAAGTAAATAAATAAATAAAATTTAAAATCCCCAGCAGTTGACTTCAGCAGTTCCATTCCTGGGCATGAAGACTGTAGTAACAAAATAGCTTTATTTTATTTCATATTTTATTTTCCACCCGCTTTGCTTAAAACTTTTTCTTTCCAATCTCATTTTTTCAGCCCCAAACAATAGTTTGATCAAACTGAAAACCTTCCCCCCCACCCCCC